ACGTACATACCGGTTGAAACAGTTTGCCCGTCTAGACATTGGTAGCCATAATATGCTGTATACACAATAATATTATTATAATATAATGTGCTGCGGAAACTATACACAGGGAAATGTAATCGGAAAATGGGCACTCGCCTAAGACAGACTGTACAGGACATGACGAAATCGAATTCCATCAAATTCGGTTGGCCGCCAAAAAATAATGGTAATAATAATAGTAAATAATAACACGGCGGTAACGGGCGTAATATATTTAACATGATTTGGCTATAGCGAAGGCCGTACCGGTCTGTTTGACAATCGAACACCGTTATAAGTGTCAAACGTATATTATAATACAATATCATACACTTCAGCCTTTTTAATTTCGCATAATAATAGTTATACGTATAAAGTTATACGTCATCATACTTAAAAGTTATAAATGTGCCCAAAATCAAGATATTCCGTTTATCCGTACGACGTGACCTTAAATTATTGTTGTTCGTTCAAGAGCGTTTCGACTTTTTCGTTCGATCCGTTCGATTTAATTATCTCTTTTTCCCAACGATAGGAACGATTGGTTGGAAAGTTGCCAAACCTATTTGTTATCCCTCTACACGCAATTTTTCGGAGTCCTATATTAGCACGAAATGATTTATGTTTTTGGTTTAATTCGTGGACTTTTCAAGACTGGGTTAGGTTGCCAGCTTTTCAGAGAAACTTTGTCGTGAAGCTCTGAGCATTGATGTTCAGTCTTGCAATTACACTTTAATAATTACGATATTATTTACTTTAAACACCGTTTGTTAGGTACCTATACGGAAATAAAACCAACATTTTAATATACCTAAGCAATATAATATAGTCACAGAATATAATATAAATCTATTTGCTGTGTTATCAATATAATAATCTATATAATGTTATAAAACTTAAAACGCTGGTAAAATTGTTAAAATGCTATCCGTATATAAAATAAAAATATTAATAAAATGTCTGACGTATCAGCTATAGTGTTATCAATATTATTCCATAATATTAACATGTTAGGTAGGTCAATAATTTCCATATTTTACGATATATTAAATTCGGAACTTTGAAAAGAAAACTTTGAAAGCCGAAAGACACAAGAATACAATGCAGTAAAGTCACAGTCAGTACAGTGATCAATAGCGTATTTTTATATTATGATCTTCATGTTCCCCCTATTTCAACTATATAATATCTTGACAGATGAACTTATCAGACTTGTCTGATCTTATTGTTGAATTATTTTTCATTTTTAAAAGCAATATAGTATATTTACAGGGAATTTCTGAAACTAAAATTTCATGTAATAGCAAATTAAACTACTTTTTATACAAAGGGTGATCATAACTTATATTCTATCACATCATTTACTTATTATATGATTATTTGTATAGATTTTTCTACATACAAATATATATCATATATTTTTTTCTGAAATACGCTTAATATGTGATTAAAATATCAAATACCATTTGATCAAATTAATCAATTTGAAAAAACAGATAGAATCTTTGTATTATATTGGACAAAATAAATATATAAATAATTGTATAATATTTGAATGCATAATTAATTTATATAGGTTTTTTATAATATTGATAACACAGCAAATATATTGCAAATATATTCCGAGATTATACTAATCATCTGATTATATTATCATTTTCGTTTTTAGGTTTTATTTCCGGGATTCCCATTTATTACGAATGGAATAAAAAAAATAGATAATTGAGTATTTTCTACGGCTCAGAGCCAAGTATAAAAGTATTCAAAAACAAAAAAAAACAACGTTAAAGCTTAATTTCTGAATGTATAATATATATGATTATTCTACTTATAGACTGATGTAAATAGATTCATGGTACACATCAGTCCCAAATTGGGACTCCCAATACTCGGAAAATTTCACACTGTATTGAAAAATATGATAATATAAAGTAATAACGGAATAATTTTAATATATTATGTATTTTGAACGGGAACGAAATTTACTAAAATCGTTATTTCATGTTTCAAGTAGTTATCAGATTTCTCCCAAAATTTGAAATTTAACGCTTACATAAAAAAGCAATTGTAACTGTAATTCTGATACTTTTGAATTATTATTAGGTATGTGAACAAATTACGACGAACCTTGGATTACATTTGCAGTCCTTAAGTATTTGAATTAAAAATCGTAATAAAAGCTTAACTACCAACATAAATCATAATCAATAAGCACATTTTTATTTGTTTGAATGAATTTCATCAAAATTTGAACTTCAAATGCTAAATTCTGAATAAAATGTTACTATACAAACACTTTGCAAAATTTCAATTCTGTACGGTAATTTCTTTCTGGATTACAACAAACGAAAAATCGGATTTTTTAAAGACTGATATTTAATATTTCGGTTTTCCCGTGTTGGTAGTTTTCCTCCAAATTATTAAGAAAATTACTGCTTGATAAAATGTTTAGATAAAATATTTCTATGTCGATTTTTATTTTTATTTAAACTAATAATAAACATAATTTTATAAGCTAAATCGAAATGAATAAATTCTATGGATTTCGTGGAGTTGAAATGTATAATGTTATGTCTTAATTACTTAATTTATACATTTTAAAAAGTGTCATATTAATTGTCTTACATAATATAGCCATATTTTCTAAAAAGCTCTTGAAAGATGATCAATTGTAAAATAGAAATTTTATTCTCTACATATTTGTCATTTATAATTCTATTTCCGTTGGTTTTGAGGTGAGATTAACCTTGTGACACAAATAAGTCAAAAATATTTTATCTTAAGAAACACTATTACACATAATTTTACTTAACCGCTTTTTCCTAACTCTAAGTCATAAATAATTTTGACAAATTATTGAAATTCGCCAGTCTGTAGATCAGTTAATGTGTTTATTATACAATTCTTTTATTCTTTTCACAAATGATGACACCTGCAGTCATTTTCTAGTGCACCTAAAGTCCGTAAGAAATGGGTACTATGACGTACACTAAACGGTGGTTAGTCATTAGCGACACGCTATAATGTACCAATTGGTTTTCATTGGTATAGAATTCAATACTTCAACTGTGAATATTAAATGGTTCTGTTTTTTGTATATACTGTTGACCTCATTTAGTCAAAAATCATCACACAGATTAAGTAGATTCCACTAGGATTTTTACGAATTTGTTAAATAATTTGTAAGTTAGTTTTATTTAAGAAGTTATAATTAAAAACCATAATATTATAAAAGGAAAAATTAATATTAAAGGACGTATATAGTTAATTTGATATAAAAAAAAATATATATACCTACCTATTAAAATTAATATAAAAGTAGGTAGGTATTGTTTGTTGGAGTTTATAGCATTGGAAAGAGATCGCGTTTATATACTATTTGGATTGAGGTTCTTCAATGGATGAAAAGTAGTTACTAGTCCATTTCCAAATCATATTGAAAACTATATACATCGACACATACAACGATCTGAAATATCCCGAAACGTATCAGTTGTTTTATGTCTTTTATCTGATGGACAGCTTTCTATACAGGTTCTATATTCGGTTTCTTTACAGGACTATTTTGTCTTCATCTATTGGATAAGACAAATATTTATATTAATACATAAGTCAGTGTAGTGTAATATATTATTAATATGTATTGAAAAAATTAAATTAAATTAAATTGATATTAAAAGAAATGTCAATATTATTTTCTTCGATCTCAAATAATATTAAACATGCCGTGTGTATTTTAAAAGAATTTTAATTTAAATCCCTATACGAAAATATGGGGTATTTCAATCAGCCGTATAACAGGTGTCAAGTATATTTGATCATTGACCTAGGTGAGGCATACTGCATTGGATGCGTTAAATGACGAATAATGATAAACAATTCTATACGATAATTTGCGATGAAAAAAATAATTCTGAGTGGAAACCTTCTGTCAGTCTGTCAATAATACGCAGATACGTAATTGTACTTAGTGGTTAAAAGTTTCAAGCTCCTGCAAATAATATATTTTTTTAAACAACATTGACATAATTATAATCATTATTTATTTGAAATGTTCTCAACATTTGAACTTAAAATGTCTATAAAAAATCAAACTTTACTGTTTTTGAGATTCTAAGGTTTCTGCTAGGTCAATGATTCCACTTATGTGGAATCTTGTACTGAGTTATCAAGCCTATAATGTGTTAAAATTGAAAATGTTATGAATTGATATTTTAACTCTTATGAAAAATTGTGACTGTATTTTCGATATTTCTTGGTTATAATATAATATAATTATATATGTTTTCTTATTTTCTGCTGTATTATCTAAATTTTAATAACTTTTATTTTTTATAAAATTTCAAATTATATTTATTATATTGATATTAGTGATATTACTAACAATTAAACATACATTAATAATTATGGTTCGTTGCTTTAATGAAAATGTAATTTACATAATTATAACTATGATATACAGGTAAAATTAAAAACTTAAAAGCATTTTAAATATTTTGTAAAAGCAGGGTTGGTTATAATGTCTTATATATAGATGTATACCATAATATTACAATTTTAAAAACACTACCAAAGGCAAATAAATTATTGCATATTTTTTCATAGTAAGCTTTCTCTTTCCACTCCAGTTTATTTAACTAATCGACGACATAACTCTTTTAGGTATGAAGCACCTTTCACTGGTTTCGTATAGTTATGTATACAGATGGGGGTGTCGTATGGACCGCACGCGAAGTTTATAGATTTCCGTGTATAAAATCTATAAAATGCCTATGAAAATTTTAAAGCCCTCCCCATTATTGTCTAAATTAAGTCTACGATCATTCATATCGCTTTACAGACATATCGTAGCAAATACAATTACCTAGTTTATGTTTCTAAATAAAAAATAGTTTTTAATTAATCTCAATGAAATTTTACAGATTTGACATGTTAGTAGTGTCTGTGGAAATCTGAGTGGTTACGGGGACTACGGGGATATGTCGACAACCAGTGGCGGTGACACAACTAAACACATGCAGGAGAACTCGGTGACCACCTTATACGACGGTGACCGAACGGTTGTCAACCATAGAGTGTCGCCACCGTCCTCGTCTAATGCCGACAGTGGTTTGGACAATTCCAACACAGAATCATCCGCCGGCGACGCTAAACTCATTATAGACGTGCCCGACTTTTCCAGAGGTATTGTTGTATACAATTGTTGTTAAACAATGAAATTGATTTTTTATAAAAAATGTTTAACTTAGTATGTTAGATGATATTCCCAACTCACATATTATGTCTTATTGTTTAATTTAATTCCGAGATTATCGTAGTCAAAGATTAACCTATAAGCCTATATTTTAAAATATATATTATTTTATTGAATTATATTCATTCAAATATTTACAAACATAATCTTAAGGTGATATGATATAAATATTGTGTGTATTTTTACTTTTTATAGAAATGGAAACACCTCGCACGGGTATTGATAACCCGAGCTTTGAGACTGATAAAACTGACGTACCAAAACCTCTAACTAACGGTCATAATGGTACCGTTAATCAAGAAAAGGATAAAATGGCTGAAGCTGTGAACCTAGAACTAATTAATATGAAACCATTCGCCAAAAGCATCAATGGCAAAGAGAATGGAGTTCCCACGAAAAAAAAAGAAACTGCTGTCAATATGAATGATACGTACGATGACTATTTTATCCCCGTGAATGAACACAAAAAATACATGAGGTTAGTGTTTTTCATAAATAATTAATTAATTTTGATAAATTAAAACTTTTACGACTTACAATTAATTTGATTTACCATAGGGGTGGAGAAAAATTGTATGTAACCAAAGATAAACGAGATATGAATCAATCTAAAAAACCATTTATGTGTTGGGTGTTTGGATTGGTATTATTGGCTGCTGCTGTCATCGTCGCGATTTTGGCGTCGAGTAAGTAAAATCGATTTAAATTATAAATCAGAGATTAATCCCACGTTTTTTTTAGCCGGTATAATATTCAATAACGAAACCGCAGTAGAGAGTAGAAATTTCATGGAGAATGAGAAAATCGCCGGTTTTGGTAATCACCTCGGACACTTCTCGTCAGTCAGCCCACCCCCTGGTGTAGAAAGTTCGAGTCCATTTAGCCCTCCGACCACCGATATGTCGGCAGTATACCTTCCTAGAACTGTACAAGGCGAAATTGTTATTGACAATAGGGAATTTACTCCTGACTTGGCAAACAAATCATCTTCAGAATTCCAAAGATATGCCCGTTCAATCGAAACCGAGGTAATTTATCGTTAAATTAAACATTTTATTTTTACAATAATATTATATTTTCATATGCTTTCAGCTGAAAAATGTTCTGTTTAAAAATCAACCGTTAAGTACTGTTAATGATGATATACACATTAAAGTCATTGAATTGTCGTAAGTATTGTTTATTCATAACATTCAATAAGTAATACTAATATTCAATATGAATTAACTATTTATTAATTCTATAGTCCTGGAAGTATAGTAGCTAAATATAGAATAGGCTGGGAATATAAAGATGATAGTGAACCACAGGATCTCATTGATGCAGTAACTCTTAACACTCGATTGGATAGTTATTTACGAGAGTCTAATGGATTTTTATACGATTATAGAGTTCCGATCCATAGATTGCGCTCAGATCGTAAGTAAAAATTAGCCCTACCAGGATACCTTATTATTTTTATATAAATAATACAATATTTCAACCTTAATATTATATTTACAGCTGTTATGGATAAATGCAAAATAGATAACGGAAAATGTTCCCATTACTGTTCTTACGATTATATAAATTTAGAATTTGTATGTTCGTGTCCATCTGAACTTACCATAAGTGAGAATATGAAAGACTGCAAGCGAATTAGTAAGTGTTTACAGACAATCAAATGTGTTTAAAATCTATGTATAAACATTTTTTTTTTAGTTGAAGAAGACAGCTTTGACACTATGTCCGAATATGATTCTTTTCCAAAGCTTGAACCTAGTTCAGTACCTGAAACGAAATCGGAAGCAGAGCCTGAATTAAAGACAGAAGCTGAACCAAGTTCAAAATCAGAACCTAGCTCAGAACCTGAATTGAAATCAGAACCTAGCTCAGAACCTGAATTGAAATCTGAACCAGAGCCAAGTTCAGTACCTGAAGTAGAACCAGAACCAAAACAAAGTTCAGGACTTGAAATCACTGCAGAATTTGAACCTAGCCCCGAGCCTGAAGTGAAAGCAGAACCGAAGCCAAGTTCAGTATCTGAAGTAAAATCTGAATCAGAGTCAAGTTTAGTGTCTGAAGTGAAATCTGAACCGGAATCTAGTTCAGAAACAGAAGTTAAAGCAGAACCGGAGCCTAGTTCAGAACCAGAAGTCAAAGCAGAGCCTGAGCCAAGTTCAGTACTCGAAGTAAAATCTGAACCAGAGCCTAGTTCAAAACCAGAAGTCAAATCTGAACCAGAGCCAAGTTCAGTACCTGAAATCAAGTCTGAACCAGAGCCAAATTCAGTACTCGAAGTAAAATCTGAACCAGAGCCAAGTTTAGTACCTGAAACCAAGTCTGAACCAGAGCCAAGTACAATACCTGAAGTCAAATCTGAACCAGAGCCCAGTTCAGTACCTGAAGTCAAAGCTGAACCAGAGCCAAGTTCAGAACCCGAGGTTAAAGCTCAACCGGAGCCAAGTTTAGTACCCGAGGTCAAAGCTGAACCAGAGCCAAGTTCAGTACCTGAAGTCAAATCTGAACCGGAGCCCACTTCAGTACCTGAAGTAAAATCTGAACCGGAGCCAAGTTCAGAACCAGAAGTCAAAGCAGAACCGGAGCCAAATTCTGTATCTAGTGTAAAGCATGAATCTGAAGTAAAAGAGAATCAGCCTGAACTTAGTCCAGAACAAGAAATAAAACCAGAATCAGAATTTGTCACCAAAATTGAACCTGATACTAAACCAGAACCGGAACCCAGTGCAGAGCCAGATTCAAAATCAAGTTCTATTGACACTTATGAATCGTTGTCAGACGTTGATATTAGTTCTGATTCAGATCTCTCTGAACAAAATAACAAGCCATTTTCAAGTTCCTCAACAGAGAAATCAATTTTAAATATAGATCAATCTGATAGAGAAGCAAAATCACATTCAGAAGAAGTATTCAGTCATGAAATCAAACCTGAAGTGACTTATATTGTATCAACAGAATCTGAATTTGAAACAAAAACTGAGTCACCATCTAAAAAAATTCTAAACCCAAAGAAAGTTCTGAACTATTAGGAGATGTAGATTTGAATGATTCAGAAGAATCCACTACAATTCCATCTATAACCGAAAACTGGTTGACTACCGCTTCATCTATAATTCCAGGTATTCCTAAATTACCTAGTGATTTGGAAGTAACAGAAAAAGAAAATGTGTCCACGGAGGAGGAAATGAAGACAGAATCTTTAGGTTTGGAACAAATGGAATTGAAATCAGAAAATAAAACTTCTATTGATTTAATATTGGATTCCCACACCGAAAGTCCATTTGAAAAAATAACTGAAATTCCAGAACTATCTATTTTGGATAACATTAAAGATTTAACAGATATAGTAACTGTTTCAACTATAGATACAGATTCAACCACCAAAGAAGATATAAATTTATCTATTAAAGAATTGGAAAATATTACAACTGAACATGTTACCGAATTCGTTGATATGACCACTATGTCTTCTACAATTAATCAAGAAGTAATTAAGCCATTGCATAGTTCAACAGATCCAAATTTCTCAGAAAAAATACATTCAGATGATTTGATAACTTTAGAAAAAACTAGTATACCCGACCCTACTAAAAAGTTACAGTCTTTAACATCTCTGGAAGATCAGATAACCAATTCACCTAATGTTGATGTTTTAAGTACATCTACACAAAGTAGTTTTGACAATATCAATGAAAATAGTTCACCCGATGAACAAGATGCGATAGATCAAATTATAACACACGCGAGTGAATCAAACTTTTCAGATGTCGTTAATGAAAATGAAAATGACAACATGAGTGCGTTAGATTTATACCAAAAACCAGAGTCAAAAAAAAAAGACAAGAAGACTTCCAAAAATCCTGAATTTTATTTTTCTGATAGTGGATTTACAAAGAGAAACAAAACGAAAACAGAAAAAGAAAGCAAAAAAAATAATAAATCAGATGCCATGGATATGATGACAGAACTATTAAATTCAAACAAATGTGAAGAAGGACAATTCCAGTGTACGAACGGTACAACCAAGGACGGTTCATATTGTATAAAAATGTCATCAAGATGTGATACAAATAAAGATTGTACTGATAACTCAGATGAATATGACTGTGCTGAAAATGCTTGCTCTGGAAATTTCCAGGTAATGAGAGTATGATTTATTAACTAATTATTTAATATCATAACTAATCAATATTATTTTTCATCAGTGTAAAAGTGGTGAATGTCTACAAAGAAATCTGGTCTGCAATAACATTATGGAATGTGAAGATGGCAGTGATGAACAATCTTGTGGTTCGTGTACAATACATATAATTCTTTTTTTTTTTTTACAATTTACAAAGTCTTAATAAAATGTTTATTTAATGTGTTATTGGTTATATAATAGATTTATGGAAGTGTGCCAATGACGAAAAACAATGTACTGGTGGACAATGTTTACCAGTATCCTATTTTTGTGATGGAAAATCTGATTGTAATGACCATTCAGATGAGCTACAATGCAATAGTAATACTATTTATAACACAAATATAATACAAATATTAAATTATGACATTTGTATAATTTGTTGTCATAGGTACTTGTGATGGGTATCAATGTTCTAACAGTTATTGCATATCGAGTACTTTACGGTGCAATGGAGTCAATGATTGTACTGGAGGCGAGGATGAACAAAATTGTGGTATGTAGATTTAAGATGATAATAGGTTAATTATAATTGTGTGGGCTTACCTTGTAGCTTCTTTTTAATTATAAACCTGAGAAATGTGTGAAGTTTCAGTTAAAGAACAACTGAAAACTAATGATCTATCTGATAAGTAACTGTGTAAATAATAATTCAAAAATTATTTAAAATGTTAGTTACGACTTACGGCAGACCTTTTTCCGTTGTCACAAATGTATTAAATTAAAAAAATAATTATTTGAATTATAAATCAAATATAAAATATTAATACATATAATCGTTTATTTTTAGAATGTAATTCCAACGAATTTAAATGTAATACTGGGTCAGAATGTATTCCAAAGAACCAAGTTTGTGACAATATAGCACAGTGCACAGACCGAAGTGATGAATGGCAATGTGTTCAACTCGACGGTGTTCAACTTTTTGCAAAGTATGTATTATTGTATTCTGTAGATTTTTATATTATTATATTCATAAGAATATTATATAAGAGGTGGGTTGTGTGCTTAAAATTTGAAAAAAATTTGAGTTAAGTTCGACTCAACTTAACTACTTTTTTCTTTGTACGAGTACAACCAAGTACACTACTTAAGTCGAGTAGTCCACTGTTTTGTTGAAAAAATAAATCTAAAAACTATAAATATCTTGACGTTTTAAATATATTAAATTTTATGATATTAAATGCAATTTTTAATACCTTTTCCCTACTAGATAATACAATATAAAACAATTATAAAACTCTCGATTTTCAGTGTACGTCAAAAATAATCAAGTACTCTTGTAATTTAAAATACTTTAGCAATTTTGAGTACTCGGGTCTTTTCGAGTAAGATTCCAGTGCTCGGGACAATTTTTGAGTACTTGACACTTTTCGAACACTTGGCTTTTGAACTCAACTTGACTGGGAAAAATTAATACTTGAAATAAAATAATAATACGTACTCACCCAACTCTACTATAAATATATTATATATAAACCGTTTATGTTTAATGACAGAAAAGAAAGCGAAATCTCCATGAAAGTATGTAGTGATAATTGGACAGACACTTGGAGCAACTTTGTGTGTCAAAGTCTTGGATTTACTGAAACCAAAACAACTAATTTCCGAACAAATGAAAACTCTACAGAAAACTTTGTGGGCTATCTTAAGTTGAAAGATAATTCAACTTTAAATAGTTCTAAGAGTTTGACGGGTTACCTTGAACCGGCATCGACATCCTGTGAGACTGTGGAAATTAAATGTTCTTCTAAGCACCGTAAGTCTTTATTTTGTATTAATTTAAATTTTTGCATTTCAATGTTTACCCTATTTTATAGTGTGTGGAGATTTTGGAGGCAAAGATCCACTATCCATGGAAATGTGGCCTTCTGTTGTCTACCTTCATAACGCAAAAACCCATAAGTCATGCACATCTAGTCTTGTAAAACGGAATTGGATACTATCGTCTTATAGCTGCGTACATTCTATGTTAGTACATTTTTCTGTTAAAACAAAAAAAAAAATTATTGGTTTAATTATTTAATCTTAAAATTTGTATTGTTATTATTTTAGTGATGAATCTCTATCGCCTGACCAATGGGAAGCGATTTCAAGCAAATCTAGAGTAGCCAATGAACAGAATTTAACAAGAAGATCAGTTTCCAGGATAATTAGTCACCCTGGAGTAAAATTCGAAAAATTCCGTTACTTCAACGACTCTGTATTAGTAGAACTTAGCCTACCGTATGATTTATCAGACGAAGTCAATACAATTTGTCTACCCGAACAAGTTGTCGATAACAAACAACCATGCGTCACAGCAAGTTGGTCTTATGAGTCGCCAGGAGGTGTGTATTATATTATATAACTAGTTATTCCCCAACTATTTTATTACAAAAACCAATAAACGTATTACAGTATTATAATTATTACAAATTTTAAAATTATTAAAATATTTAATTTATAATATATTATACATTCCATAAAACGATTTGCATAATAAATATTCAGTCTTAGATGCATTTTTATAAGCAATGTATTCATTTTTATAATTACAGTTTTCAAACAGTTTTCACGCTATTTGTCTGAACCATTAATGCAGACAGATTTGTGCAACTCAACTGAACACTTTAATGGTTTCCTGACAGAACAGGAAATTTGTGTGACTTCGAGAGAAATGGAAGCCAGTAATGTAAGTGTTATTATCACAATGTAAATAATATTCATATTCTAACAAGTAACAATAATACAGTATATTATTATATTGATTTGTATTGTATAATGCACAGTAAATACTATGTGCCTAAAAGTATAAACATTAGAAGCTTAGTAAATTATAAAATTTTTAGTGAATGAATGCATCAGAATGAGGTACAAATGTATTTAGTAAAATAATTTAGTTCCTACAGTATTTAACTCGAAACGTTTGAGATGGTCAAAAATCAGTTTGAAATATCATAATATAAGATTGATAGATATAAAATATATAATTTAACCAAATTATTCATGAACTGCTTACTATAACAGAAGGTTGGTATAGGTTTTTGAATGCTTATAATAATAACAATTTTAGGTATAGGGAGACGGAGTGGCCGAGCTGACAAAGGCGTCGGTTTCGACTATCGCTGGTTCGAACTCGGCCATGGGTGGAATTTTTCTTCGGGCAGCTCTTTTAGGCCGCTATCCCCTGCCCGGGCATGGCAGATACCTGCAATGTGTGCCCTCTTAAAAATTCTGCTAAAACAAACACACGAGTACCTTCGCCCACAGTTCCACAGGCTAGTGACCTCAGTTGTCGAAGCCACAACCCATAAAAAAAAAAATTTTAGGAATAATATTGTGACAAAAAAATTTTAATACAAACAAACTATTTAAATAATATGGATAAATAAATTACTATGGTTTTAAAATGAAATTGGCTAGTGTTTCACAAAATTATAATGCAATTACGATAACCTTCCATTATTTCAAAAGTTGAGTATATATTTATTTGTATATGTGTTGCCAAAAAATAAATGTAATAAGTAATTTCATACATAGGTAATACATATTATTTATTAGTTATTTCTAAAAATACATTTTTTTTTCAATTAAATTAATAAGGTTGTCACAAATATAAAATAATAATTCAAATTTACTGCAGTATTGTAATTTATTTTTAAAATTATTTTCATTACTCAATTAAAATATAGATATTGATTTAATGTTAATCGTTTTTGCTCAGTCGACATCTATTTTCACAATAAATAATATTACACAGAATTAATTTAACAAATGACGTGTTTTGATTAAAAAAAAAAATAATGTAAAAATGTCTTTAATTTCTACGGTTTTAATATGTTAATCCGACTGAAAAAAAAATCT